CACATATATTTCATACATGCATGATTCAGAACATTTAGAAGAAAAATATGCCCTTATTGATCTGTGTATCTCATAATGCACATATTTGTTCTTTGTAGGCATGATTTTACTTTTTTCCAGATGTTTTGTCATCACTGTTATAAAATGTACGAGCACTGTTTGTCATGATTGTCCACTGTCTTTGATACACGACCTGATATCTGCTTCAAAGCAAAAGAAACCTCTCCTGGTTTTTTTTTACTCTTAAAGTGCACATTTCTCTCAGGAGGCATGACTTTGTCTTTTCCAGTACATTGTGTCATATCATTGTTCATGTTACAAGTCATGTTTGTCTTCACTGTCAGCCCACTGATTTTGGGCTTTCTCCTCATATTTAAAGTTTAAAATTGTTTTGCACATGTGTGTTTTTTCTGGTACTGAGGCTTTGATAACTGTATTTGTACAGCCTTTCACTATTGTGATGCGTTATCAATGATAATATCCATAATCCATTGTGTGTATCCTTTCCTGTACATAACAATGATGACATATTCTGTGCTCTGCGTCATTGTTACAATGCTTGTCATTTATATTACCATTATGAATTTTTTTTTTAGTAGAGGGTTGTATGGCGCTCGCAACTGCATAAGGTCATTATATGAGCGCCAAGGGGTGGATGTCAACAGAGAAGTCTTTACAGACAGGGAATCAGACTTACTCTGCTCACCTCTCAAACTTAAACAGCACAAGGCCTGCTTCGACTATCAAGGCACCGCGGAAATAGCGAGTCACAAGAGTGTGACAAACATACAAAAGAAGTAAATAGAATTGACAATAGTAAGGATTAGGAAAGAAAAAGCAGCAGTTCCCTGTTGTAGATCAGGCACAGTTATGAGCATGACAGGATGGATCAGCCCATTTACAATTCTACTGTGCTTGAACGAGAAATGTACCCCTCCTTTTGGAATGGCCAAAAGACACTACAGTCCGTTGCACTGCCCCGGGGGGTATGAATGGAGTTCATAGTGTATAAAGTCTTTGTTTACTAAACACATGGAATTTAAAGCCTATAATTTGCCTTGCTGCTTATCTGTACTGTCATCACTGTTATATAAGAAATACAGTGGTTGCCAAACCAATAGACCCAAATCTCCAAAACCCTACATCCCCTTGCTCTGATACTGCAGATATGAGCACTACTGTCAATCTGTGACTGACAGAAAAAGGATTCAAATTGGTGAGAAAAATGTTTTGGCATCAAGAGAGTCTCACGTTTTGGCAATTGCTCATTTGTTCGCCGTTCATTTGTTGTTGTTTTGTATAATACAAGGTTCTAGTTGTAAATGGGATGTACTATGACTGTTTTTCTGACATTACGGTCATTACCTTGTCACGAAGCCTTGTGAGTGTTATTTTAAAAAAAATATTTAGTAGAGGTTTTACGGCACTCGTAACTGCATAAGGTCATATGAGCGCCAAAGGGTGGATGTCAACAGAGAAGTCTTTACAGGGAATCAGGCTTACTCTGCTCACCTCTCTAAAACCTGTTTCGACTTTCAAGGCCGGAAATAGCGGGTAACAAGAGTGTGACAAACATGATACAAAAGAAGTAGATCTAGATCTAGAGGAAAAATGAAAATATAGAATCTAGTACGGATTCTAAGGAAAGAAAAAGCAGCAGTTCCCTGTTGTTACGTTGTAGATCAGGCACAGTATGAGCGTAACATTGATGAATCAGCCCATTTACAATTCTACTGCGCATGAACGAGAAATGTCCTCCCTTTGGGAAAGGCCTAGATACTTCAAGCAGTGGCACCACCCTGGATGGTCTTGCGACTGTGTCAGTTAGCAAAGCAAAAACAATCTCCTGCTGCTGAGGGACCATGGTCATGGAGAGGCTCCACTGGTGGAAGGGTAACCAGAATCCACCAAGAATGTACTACTGGACTTTATCTCATGTTTAGAAATAGATAAATGATAAAGGAAATTAGCTCTCCCCTCTTCTTAATTTGTTTCGTCTTTGAAAAATCTTACTTTGTAGTTAGGGTAGAGGGTGCATATTTCGACACCCTTTCTGGCAGGTCTGTGACTGCTGCTGTGTTCATTGGTCTGTGTAGTCGGATAAAATCAATTGAGCGGCGAGGTTCTGTCACCAGATGGTGGAGAAACCTCTGAGAAACTGTTTGTTGTATAAAACAAGTGAATGTGCCTGCCAAGTTGATTGTAACCCTCTCTTAAAGTGTGTGGGGTGCGTAATTCAAAATTTCAACACCCCTTGTTCTAATTCCGACACCCCTGTGAGGGGAACTTCGACACCGGTTGTTCCAATTACGACACCACTGTGGGGAACTTCGACATCGCTTGGGGGGAAATGCGACACCCAAGGCCCGGACCGGCCCAGTGCTGTAGTTAGGCCCAGGCCTAGGCTTGGGTCCAGGAGGTCGTGGGTTCGATCCTCGGCATTTCAGTATTAGCATTTCTTTTCTGCTTGACACACGGCATTAATTTCATTAAAGGAAAAGTAGTTGGTCTGTCGTTTGGCTAGTATACACTGACTGAGTGAGGCAAACATATTGCCCTGTCCTTTCACCTGATTGTGGTTTCGCTGCATCATCAAATCTCCACAATATTAGTATCACTACAATTATCATCATTATTAACATCACCATCAGCGACAGCAGCATCACTGACCTCAACATCAGTAACAGCTGCAACAACTGAATTAGTATTAGTTCATTACCATGATCATCACCAGCACCAGCATTGCCCTACCATCTCCATCATCACCATCACCATCATGTCATCATCTTTATCACCACCGCTACCACCAGCATCATCGTTACTAGGCCTATCACCCGCATCATCATCTCCACCACCATAACTGTAGAGCCCAAGTTAGTGCTAGTTTAGTAAAATCATTGAACAAGAAACAAGGCGTAAATCATCAAAATTTATTACTCTGGAATTCAGTGCAACACATGCTGCCCTCGCTGAATTCCTATCATTAGGCTACCAGGTGCAAAAGAACCCTATAAAAGTATTAAAAAGGAACAAAATAAAAATCAACAACAAAATGAAACAAAACAAACAAACAAATTTGACTTCTCAAGTTCAGTAGACTCATCTGAGTCATCTGCTGCTGCTGCTCCTATGCTGCTGCTGATGTTGCATTTATTCCTGCTGGTGCTGTTGCATCTGTTGTTGTTGCATCTGTTGTTGTTGCTGTTGCATCTGTTGTTGTTGCATCTGTTGTTGTTGCTGTTGCATCTGTTGTTGTTGCATCTGTTGTTGTTGCATCTGTTGTTGTTGCTGTTGCATCTGTTGTTATTGCATCTGTTGTTGTTGCATCTGTTGTTGTTGCATCTGTTGTTGTTGCTGTTGCATCTGTTGTTGTTGCATCTGTTGTTGTTGCATCTGTTGTTGTTGCATCTGTTGTTGTTGCTGTTGCATCTGTTGTTATTGCATCTGTTGTTGTTGCATCTGTTGTTGTTACAGCTGTTGTTGATGCGGTCTTGTTGTTGCTGCTGCTGTGGTTCTTGTTGTTGCTGCTGCTGTGGTTCTTGTTGTTGCTGCTGCTGTGGTTCTTGTTGTTGCTGCTGCTGTGGTTCTTGTTGTTGCTGCTGCTGTGGTTCTTGTTGTTGCTGCTGCTGTGGTTCTTGTTGCTGCTGCACTGCTGTGGTTCTTGTTGTTGCTGCTGCTGTGGTTCTTGTTGTTGTTGCACTGCTGTGGTTCTTGTTGTTGCTGCTGCTGTGGTTCTTGTTGTTGATGCTGCTGTGGTTCTTGTTGTTGCACACACACACACACACTCATACACACACACAAACACACATACACACTCACGAACACATAACACACACACATGTACACACACATGTACGCCAAACACACACACACGCACACGCACACACACACACAAACACGCACATGCGCGCACACACATCTACTTGCTTATCACACGCACACGCTTACACATCGTACTGCAACTCACAAAATACATAAATGGATACATAGGCTAGTCATTTACATAACATTGTACTGAAAATGAATCTACTGACATAGTGTCGAAATAACCTACAGGGGGTGTCGACATTACCACCAGGGGTGTCGAAATAGCAGCATGGGGTGTCGAATTATTGACAGAAGGGGTGTCGTAATTCTGAGAGTGGCATTTTTTTATGTGGGGAAATTCGACACTTTTTGAGCACATATTTAACCAGTTTAAAGCAATAAAATCTATCAAATTTTGTTGAAAACAGCAATTTTAATAATCTAATATTCATTTAGTACATTCATTTATCACATACAGCCTTTTACACAAGAAATAGGACTTGTTTACTCACCTTGTGATATTGCTGCTTTAGAAACACGGAGCTTGAAAACGTTCGAAATTGGACGCGCAAAAGAGCGGTGTCACTTCTTGGGGGTTTATGGGAAAACTATTACACCTATATTTAGAAATGACGCACATCGTTAAAAAAAGATAGTTCGGCTGCCGGTTAAAAATAGACCCGCGCGCATAAGTTGTAGTATTTCCGCACCGTTCGTTGTTTTTGGAGTGCACCCCACGAGGGGTGTCGGAATAGCACACAGTGTCGGAATATGCACCCTCTACCCTAGGTTGTTAGTGTTAGTGTGTTATTGTTAGTTTTCGTCGGAACTGGGTGATCGGATGAACTATCATGAACCCCACCAAGCGGCTAAGACATTAGGTTAGGCTAAGACCTAAGATATGAGAAGTAATCATAATATATAGACTCTACTCTAGAAATCTAGATTCTAGATATATAAATCTAGATATCTTTATCTAGTCTAGATATAGACTAGATATAGATCTAGATTTCTAGATCTAGAAATCTAAATCTAGATTTATAGATCTAGATCTAGAATCTATCTAGATCTAGATCTAGATCTAGATCTAGATCTAGATGATCTATATCTATATCTATATCTAGATTCTATATATGCAAGCTGGAATCTAGAAGTTGTCATCGTCTTCAAATCTCAATGCAATGCTTACTTACATTGGGTGTCTGAATAATGTCAGCTTCTACAACTTGTCTCTTCTCTTGTTCTCTACTCTTTGTATCCCGCGGACGTCGCCATTTTAAAGAGGGGACTTAACTCATGACGATAAACTTCGTGAAGGCTGATAGCAGTGCATTGAGAGTGAGATTCCCCAAGTGACCTCCCATTTGTTTAGCGTTCAATGCTGATTTGCTTCCTAAGGAAGTTATCTGAGTGGATTACCGGATTCAAATAAATTATCCACTTACAAACAGCACAACTGGAATATTTTGCAAAATCAAACAATTATCACGGTGTTGTATGCCTTATTATAGTGTCTTATCAACTTTCACTATTCTAATTGAAAAATTGTGAATAACATTGCGAAATAATTTGGAGATGTACTCTCATGCTCACTTCTCTCACTATTCTAATCCAAATTTTGCCTTTGAAAGAAAAATCTTTCGTTAAAATATCTAGATCTATACCAAGAAGAATTTTTAAATTGTGTTTGTAAATATATGTAATATTTTAAAATTATATCCTCAAATAATAATGGAAATAATATACTAATAGTTTTAAGGGATAGAGACAAGGAGATTAAAAGTAATGGAGGATGCCCTGTGGGCGGCACCGCACGCCTGATAGGAGCCCTCTCTCGCGGCGGAACTGTGGTCTACCTGCGCTGAGCGAATGCCCGACTTACGCACTGAAATCTAGTTATAAGAAAGAAGGTTTTATTCCGAGGTCCTTGAGATTAGGCAAGTCAATTAGTAAAAATGCCTTGCATCTGTGTTGTATTTAAGTGTAAGAACCGATATGATGCTGCAGTGAACCGAAGTTTTCACAGTTAAGTTGTTTTCCTTTTAAAAAATTTGAAAGAAAGTGTTTTTATGCCCCCAGCAACACAATTTAGATCATTAACATTCATAAGAGGCTGGCTCCGGTGCTACCTGCCAAGGCCAACCCAGGCTGAAAGGGATACAACACTCCAGCAGAAAGACAGAGAAAATCAATTTTTTAAAAGTATTCTTATTCTTATATATATAATTATTATGTGTATATATATAATTATCATGTGTGTATGTATATACATTGTTATTCATTTATATCGTTTTCCATTGTGTGTGCAAATTAGATGCTACTGTTGTCTAAATGCAGATATCTGGAGGCTCCATTAGAATAGGAAATCAATACTCAAACTCAACAACAATAATGATGAATATTTTCTATGTTAAAGAAACACCAAACCATATCAGATGAGGGGAGAGGGTAGGGTGGGGTGGATAAGAGTTTGAGTCTTGTTAGATAGAACTATACTCTGTTTAATTCTATTGTTGTAGTCTTTACCTAAGATCCCACAATCAATAATTCCGGTTCAGTTAAGATTCTGCTGTTAAAAAATAAACCAAGCAAAGCAACAACAAATTTTAATACACAAGAGCCATCACTAGATAAATTCCCCCCCCCCCCCCCCCCCGGAGTGTAATAAGGGACTAAAAACGCTGCAAAACGCTGCAAAACGCTGCTCTCCATATCATACTTCAAAAAACCTTCAAAGGTCATCCACGCTCATGCATGCCATCACACCTCCAAAGGTACTGTTATCTCTTTAAAAAAATATATATTTGAAATCATTGTGCGCTCCACTTTGTGAAAACCAGGAAACAAAATTATTGTGATCAATAATATTATTATTTATAGACCAAGACATACTGTTAGCAATCAGATAAAGCTGGCATCGACCTCTGTTGTGTTCGCTATTCCTTACACATAAAGTTAGTTATGGCACACGCCTAGAATCATGCAATCATAATATCTTAAATTCAGTTTTAAAGTATATTTTTATCCATTTCTAATACTTAAATATTTTAGCATCTTGAAAGATTATCTTTATAATTTGGTATGTTTGATAATTTTATGTTACTTGGACAAGTTTACTACTTATTTTACACATCTTTTTGATTTTAAACTAGATTATAACATAAAACTCTGAAAGAATTGAACAGTCCGTATCACACACAGAATTTTTTTTTCTCCCTGTCATTATCCGTCAGCCCGTCAGTTGATCACAATCTCTCTTTCTCTCTCTCTCTCTCTCTCTCTCTCTCTCTCTCTCTCTCTCTCTCTCTCTCTCTCTCTCTCTCTCTGTGTCTGTCTGTCTGTTTGTCTGTCTGTCTGTCTGTCTGTCTGTCTGTCTCTCTCTCTTTTTCTTTCTCTCTCTCTTTCTCTCTCTCTCTCTTATTTAATTTTTCCCATTCTCCTTCGTCCCTTCCCAAGGCCCGCCCCTCCTCTTTCATCCCTGCCCCATCCCCTCTTCCTTGCGTGCATTCCCCCTCCCCGCCCACCCCCACAACGTGGCCCAGCCCGATAAGATTCTATAAAAAGAAACGCCACAGTTCGAGATTTAGCCCACACTCGGCGGCCATATTTGATCCCCACCGCGGCGTACTGCTCGTGGCACCGCGAAGAGAGAGAGGAGGCTCCATTACTCCTTGGATAGAGACTAGTCAAGAAGTTTTTCCGCTTCCGGGAATTGGTATGACGTAGTTTTGTCATCAAAACATTAGTCAACTTTCTACATCCTGAAGAAGCGCGACGAGCTGACACTTACGTATTTTTAAAGACCAAAATGTCCCTAAACACCGCCCATGCCCAGGGTGGGGTTCTTATTTTCGCAGGTGAAAGGTAAGAAATACATGGTCGAAAGGATGATGCAGTTTTGTGTTCGTAGGATCAATTTGGGTGTTTATTTTTCTCGAAAACACTCACTCGAAAACCCTAGCCCTAGGCCCTAGGCTAGGACACTCGAAAACACAAGAGGAACCACTCGAAATCACCTTTGTACCTTTGGATGAAATCATCATTTTAGTATCAGAAGGCAGCCTAGAATCAAAGATAGGCTGTGCTAGAAGGGATTGTATAGTCTATAGTTAGGGGCCACCTCTATTCTCACCCAGGGTGAGAATAGTGCAGGCGAGTCTTTTGGCTATTCTCACCCGGTGGGCGTTCACCGTTATAGTCTAGGCCAACCAGTGAAGTGTTCACCCTGAACCACAGAATTCTACACTGTGATAACAGAATTATAGAATTTTGGGCGACTGTCAAGATTTCCGCGTTTAATTCCGATGTGCGTTTTTCACAGCCTCAGGTGTATGTTTCGCTTTGGTCCCTAAACCCTAACCCCAACCCTAACCCTGACCCAGTGTCAGCTTTACAATCTTGAGTTTGTTGTAAATTCTTTGCCAAAAATGTTTTTTTTTTTTGTGATTCCTGGACTGTCATTTTGAGCACACCAATGCAAACTTCCAAGAATGTCCAAAATGTAGTATTTTTGGGTGTTTTTTTTAAACCTGTGCTTTGATTCTATGCTATTTGTGATCGAGAAAGGTTCACTTGCTCAAGAAAACGGTTTATTTGTTTGCAAATAAACGAATAATTTGGATCACTTGTGCGTCAGTGGTGTCGTCACGGACTAGATTTATTAGGTGTTTCAGAAAACACCATTATTTTTTAGTAGAATCACCACAGCTGGTTAAATCTTTTTGCTTTTCGTCGTGTATTCAATAGTTCAAAAGCCGCGATGCGCGAAAGGAACATCGGGTTCCTAGATTTACGATTTCGGTCGGCTGTTTAACATTCGCCGTTAATGGCGTCACTTTGCGACGTACCAGAAGTCAGAATTTTAGCCTACTTTTGTTTTGAATGGATCATCAACAGTGCCCGGATATAATTGTTTTCTTGAGTGACTTCCCCTTACCCGCTTCCCCAGAACAGCGGGAGCAACGGGGTAAAGAGAAAAACGAAAGTAGTCATTGCCGTCACCCTCCGGTTATGCACAAGAATCTTGTGTTGAATGTGACGTACTGGACTGTTTTGCGTGTTTTTAGGCTACCCTATTGAATATTTTAGTGAAATTGTGGTGTCTACATTGGATTCCTGGAACAAGAGTGTGATGTGTGAACAAACTTCGAGAGATGGATCATTTCTGTGGTTATAGATTTAGCTTTTGTGCTTAGTGATGACGTTTGGGGTGTCGTCATGCAGCCGTACAAGACTGACTGACGTACTAGAAATTACATTGTCCTAAGAGCAAACATTTTTAAAGTCATGTGTGCTCTTTTTACTCAAACAAATAGACAAACATGTCCTTGTTTTATCTGTCTAACTCAAAAGTACACATTTGTTCTTTGTTGGCATGATGTGCCTTTTTCCAATACATTGTGTCATTGTGTCATCATTGTTATCATGTACAAGTTAATATTTTTCATAATTGCTAATATCAATAAGTTTTCAACATATATTTCATACATGCAAGATTCATTTAGAAACAAAATACGCCTTTATTGATCTGTGTATCTCACAGTGCAAATTTGTTTTTTTTAGGCATGATTTTAACTTTTCCCAGTATGTTTTGTCATCACTGTTATGTACGAGTACTGTTTGTCATAATTAGCATCGTAATTGTGATTGTCTACCTTCTTTGATATGACCTGATATTTGTTTCAAAGCAAAAGAAACCTCTCTTGGTTTTTTTAAAATTCTTAAAGTGTGCATTTCTCTTTGGAGGCATGACTTTGTCTTTTCCTGTACGTTGTGTCATCATTGTTATACAAGTCATGTTTGTCATCACTGTTATGCACAAGTCAGCCCTATTGATTTTGTGCTTTTGCCTCATATTAGTTAAAAAATTGTTTTACACATGTGTTTTTCTGGTGCTGAGGCTTTGATAACTGTATTTATACAGCCTTTCACTATTGTGATGTGTTGTCAATGATAATGTCCAATGTGTATCCTTTCTTGTACATAACAATGATGACATGTTCTGTGCACTACGTCATTGTTACAATGCTTGTCATTCATATTACCATTATGAATGGAGTTCATAGTGTACAAAGTGTTTGTTCACTAAACAAATAGAATTTAAAGTCTATAATTTGCCTTGCTGCTTATTTGTTTTTTTGTCATCACTGTTACATACAAGAAATACAGTGGTTGCCAAACCAATAGACCCATATCTCCAAAACCCTACATCTCCTTGCTCTGATACTCTAGGAATATGAGCTCTAAATGTCAATCTGAGACTGACAGAAAAGGGAGTTAAATTGGTAAGAAAAAATTTTTGGAACCACTGAGTTTCAAGAGAGTCTCATGTTTTGGCAATTGCTCATATATTAACAAAACAGCTGGTCGCCTAAAATAAGATGAGCATAAAAGTTTTTAAAGTTAACATTTGTGTCTACAGCTGTTGCAAACTAGTGTTTGTAGTCTACCTTAATTAATGATAATACTGTTTTTTAAATTCATTTTGCATGTTATTGTTAGAATGTTTCTTTCATGTTTTAATTTGTCATGTAAATGATCAATTACTCTGTCTTTATCTTTGATTTCTCTTTTACATCTTTAACTCATGAAATTGCCCTGTAAGTTAAACAATAGTCTCTTCTTATTTTATTACTTCAGTTTGTTTAGCAAGTTTTTCATTATATTTTTATTGTGTTTATTTAAATGTTCAACTTCTTCAAAGACAATTAGTTGTGAAATATGACATGATTTTTTAAGGCATGCAATTGTGTCACGATACTTATTTATTCTTTCTTTATTTCTGGCAATTGTTTAGTTCACCCAGTCTGCCAACTTGATATTGTTAAATTAATGCAAATTTTTGTTGTTGTCTGCAACAAATGCTTTCTTAAACGCTCAATTTTTTTGCAACTTGTTCGAACTCCGCAAGCATTTCTGGATTTTAAATTAAAGTCAGGATTTATTCTGGTGAGCTGTCAATAAATCCAACGGAACAGTGGCAGGTTATGATCAGGGGCTGTGGAAAGAAAAAAAAAGCAAAGCAATGAATTCATCAATGAAGTAAATAAAATCATTTGTGAGCAGTGGATGGAAATTTGACATTTTCACACTACAATACTACAACTCTAGTAGAGGCAGAGGGAGGGTGTAGATGACTAGACAAGAGAAAAAACATCTTCTAATAAACATGTATCTTAAAACAAACTGCATAAAGTAAGTGAAAATTTGAAGAGACATTTAAATAACAAGCACACACAAAAAAAATTAAAAAGAAAAAATATTTAAAGACAATATAAGCACACAAAAGTTAGAAGTAAAAACTTGCGTGAAATCGATGGTCTAACAGTAACACAGAAACAAAACAAGGCTGTTACATTTCCCTCCCTCCACCCAAGACTCCTTACTGATTGTTACATGGTGCAAATTCATGAAAATTATACAACAGTGATACATATTATATTCCAAAATTTAAAATAAATCATAACTTCTACTATAAAACATTCTTCAATGTCGTTTAAGGGGTAATAAACACCAACAATACACGTTAGCGTGGGTTAAGTTCGCTTTCCGCAATGGCCGCCATGACCTCCTGGTTCACGCTCAGCAGCGCGATCGATAATAGGTCATGCCCATTCATAGAGAGTGACCTATTTAAATTAGGGCTCACACGCTTATGCCTCAACGTACAACATTGAAATTAACAAATAAAAGAGATAAAGGTTGAAGAAAAGATAGTGAGGAGTACGTAAAAAAAACAACCTACTCTTTAAATATAAAGGCTTGAACTTACCTTATTTTCAACTTCTTGTAACTCCGAACACACACAACCGATCCTGAAGTGGAAAACACCATAATACGCGCCTTTCTTTCCTCTAAAATAGACCTACTGTCTATAATCTAGATCTAGATCTAATCTTGACTCTAGATCTAGATCTAGAGACCTCTCTCGGCATACCGTCTCCTTAGTGATAGTGTTTCGTGATGACTATTTCCAGAAGTGAACTTTTGTATTACCAGAACTTCGGCTCTTTCAAAAACATCGACCCAAAATTTCGTTTCATTGAGAGGCCAGCCTTTCCTGTTGATGTGGGGTGAAGTTTTTAGTCAGTGTATAAAGAAGGGCGGTCTTTATTCGGACTCGAGTCCGAATAACATTTTTTCATATTCGGACTCGAGTCCGCATATGAAAAAAATGTTATTCAGACTCGGGTCCGGAAAAGTGTCTTCGTTCTATAGATCTAACGTTCCGTGCTTCCAATTTTCCGCCATTTTTTAGTTTCCCTCACACCTTATCTGCCGATCCGATGCCCGCCGCCTCATTGATATGCCACCCCCCACCCCCCATGTTTCCCACTTTCTTTGTTGTAGAAAAAGGTAAAATTGAAGATTAACAGACCACCTGAAATGGCCTTGGTATGCTCACCCTATCCAAAACCCAACTACATCGCCTCGAAGTCATTCAAAATGAAGGAATGAGAACTGTCCTTGGATGCACCCGTGACACAGCAGCATCAGCGATGAGCTATCTGCTGGAGTTAACCCACCGACACAAGCTAGCACAAGTCAAGGCCTACCTTCGAGTAACAGCAGACGGATGTCACCCTCTACATCCGAAAATAGGAAACCAAGTACGCCAAAGATTGAAAAGAGGATCTTCGTGAATGGTGCAGGCGCAGCGAACTCTCAATATGTGCTGTGAAATCGAGGACATAAGAAGAAGATGTGACTGGATGAGGCCGGAGAAAGACATGAGCAACTTCGTGAAGGTGATAGCTACGCTAGGTCGAGAGTGTCGCGAGTGGTCAGCAAGTGCAACTAGTGCGGAAATTGTGGCCATCCTTGAGGAAAATTCAGTGATGGGTGATGTTGTCGTCTTCACCGACGGATCAGTGAGGCGTGGCCAGAAATCTGGGTGGGCGTTCAGTGCTCGAGTTGACGGGAAGATAATTAAAGAACAGTCTGGAGCTTACGAGTGCACTACGTCGAGCATGGCAATAGAGGTCAAGGCAATAACAGAGGCGCTGGAATGGATCAGCATGGAAGCGTATAAACATGCCCTGTTTGTCACAGATTCGATGAGCACCCTAGAAAAAATCAGGAGTGGGTGGCTCTACAGTGACTGGAGAGCTTCCATTGCAAATAGCCACCTCCTAAGAATTACATGGGTGTTCTGCCCTGGTCACGCCAGGGTGCACGGAAATGAGCGTGCTGATGAACTTGCCGGCAAAGCAGCACCCAATGGCCGAATCATGCTCGACCCACCAATGGTGATCGCCAGATGCAAGGAGAGCCTTCACAGCCAAGAGGAGACAGACTCCCACACACTCAGCACAATAAAAGAAAAGTGTGTCCCGCCGAAAAAAAATTTGCTCCGTGGAGTGGTCAGGCGTGTCTCAAACCAGCTCCTCATGGAGACAATTAGCAGGAAGACCCTGAGGTGGACGCTGGAAAGGAGAGATGAGCAGCTATGGGCATGTGCCGCCTGCTATGATTCTAGCTCTGGATCCAAGTAAATCCAAGTAAATCCAAGACCACCTGGCACTAAAAACTGTTGCAAACGAGATCTAGCTAGATCTTTTGCCTAGCTTTCCATCTAGATCTAGATCTACCTATTATTTTTGTGACTTTAGCAGGCACCCCCTATCTCCCCTTCTTTTTCTACCGGAGTAGATCTAGATCTAGTGGTGGTCGCCTAATGTTCAAAGAGGCCTAGAAAAACTAGATCTCTACATCTAGATCTATGCCGAGTTGCCTTTCCTGAAACAGTGGCAAATATGTAGCTTAATCTACCTCTGGTTGTCGGAAGTTCTGATAGCCGCTTGGGCAGCGTGTTTGTGTCTTAAGTCATACAATTATTTCTATGAGTGTGGGAACGAACCCCGGTCCCGGAAGTTTTTTGTTGTTGTTTTTCACTCCTCTTCTTCTCCTCCTCCCTAATGACCAACAATTGTTCCCCATAATTATAATTTGTTGCTCTATTTTTTAATGTAGTGATGAATCATGCTCATTCTGGTTTTGTCCCCAAGAGGAGCTTTTACCAACAAAGTATAGTAACAACAGCATAGGCCTACTTTTCCTTTTACCCGTTTAGGCCTGGTTAAAGTTCAATAGTGATTTTCCTTGGTCTGTAAGTCGAATCATTTTTTATTTTTTTATTTAAGCCCAGAGAGGCCAAATTTCAGCTCCTCAATTGCAAATTTTCTTCAGCTTCAGGGGCCCTCTTGCGGCCCCCAGATCCCTGTCAATTATTATTAATATTCGCCCTGGTTGGGGGTCCAGGGCCAAGCTGATTCTGAATATGAAATCAGTTTTGACGTACGGTAATTATTTAAACAATTTTGAGTCCTGAGTTTAATTCTGCGCGGCGGCAAATTTCAAAGTGATCTTTGTCACAGTGCGTCTCCCTCAAATCTGAACGTTATCGCACGAAAAATATCAAGCCACGCTTGATTTCTCGACAGAGTCTGCCAACCATCGTTCAATCATCTAAATTTTGTACAATCTTGTAGTTACACTTACATCTAACAATCTAGATTCTATCGTATGATCGCTAGATCGTCCAGTATTTGTACAATTTATTGTTCAGTGTAACCAGGCCTTTATCCAATCTATCGTCCAGTTTTCTTTCGATCGAGGAGATTCCTCGTCTTAAAGCCACCATGTCTCTTTGTGACGACAGCGATTTGCCTGTAGATAAATATCTACTCTACTCTATACAGTGGAACTCGGATTCAACGAGGTCGTTGGGCCTGACCTAAAGTCTCGTTGAATCCGAGTGTTCGTTATAGCAAACACAAGGTTTTGTGTAGATAATTACATGCACTGAGCAAGTAATGTATAAGGAAGCCTGAAATGCCTGCATATTATGAGCTGTGTAAAAAAAGACCAATTCGTTCAAATACACAAGCCTGTGTCATCTCCATTATTTACCAACAAAAAGTTGTGTTGCTGTGTAGAGCTGAGCATACAGTGACTTTTGATTCCATTGACCAGCGCACAATTCATTACGTAGATCTACGTTAAGACTAACTTATTATTGTAATAATGATCAGTTGCCGGGGGAAAAAAGACTGACGTGTATGCGACGTTCAACGCCCGGACCGCTAGTGCCCCCCCCCCGACACGCACACACAGCCACACGTGTGCAGGTCGCCCATCCGACCCCGACGCACGCTAACGAGCCATCTTTAATTGCTTCTGATGACCTCTTGACAAATAAACATTTATTAGAAGCGCTATAACTTTTCAGGCCGGCCTCAAATTCATCATAAGATAAAAACTCGGCTCCTGCACAAAACGCCCTTTTGCCCGAAGTGATCCCGGTCTCTACCCAGCCTGAGGCGAGTCACGAGTGAGGCAGGACAGGAAGCCAGAGTCACGAGTCACAGGAAGTAGGAAGTCAGAAGTGATGTCATGCTGGACAAGAATCGGAGTCCGAATAACATTTTTTCATATTCGGACTCGAGTCCGAATAGTTACTTCGATAAAGAAGACCCCTAACCGAGACTTGACGCATGTCATGGAATGCACCCCATGCCGTCACCTGTCGGGTCTTCTTTGGGGTCGGTCTCCCCATACCGTCACCCCTAGACCCCATACCACCACATTCAAATTGAAGCACAACTTGTTGTTTGAAAAGAAATCTTGAATTATTTTTAAAATGCATAATCTTGGGTGGGTATAAAGTCAATATTCATGTAAAATTGATACCACCCAAAAAAATGAAGAAGAAAGGGGCCGTACAATATATATATACCCTAGTCTTAGCATGAGAAGGGGGTGAAAATGAAATAATACCTGACAGACTCTGGCAAAGCTCAAAGGTTGTACAGAATCTTGTCAGCACTCATTGTTGGATCAGTTCGCCAGAAGTCTTGAAATGCATACAAACCTTAATTTGTGAAATTAACAATGAATTTGTATGATAAGAGGATCATAAAAGTAGTAGTATGTTAGAAGACTGCCAAATAAAAGTTATGATTATTTTATTTTAATGCCAGGACTTAATACAGAATACGATATACTGTAGTTTAAAATACTTGCAAATGAAATACTGTGATGTTCATACTCATACCCAATGATACCCTGGTAATTCCATGCTGTACAAAGCTTGACCAGATTTCCCCACATGGCCAGTTGAGAGGTGGAGTTCTAATTAAAGTCTATGGGATTTTGACTAGGAAAACACTTTTCACATACTGTACTTCCCCCATATGATGTGAAATTATGAAACAATTGCTTCAATTCATAGTTCTATAAAATCTTTTATTGAAACTGAAGCTCGTGACATCAGATCATTAGAAAACATGGGAAACTGTTGATCATATCAGCCTTTTACTCCTTTAGGGTCTAATAACTTAAAACTGTCCACTGCCTCTCATGTCTTATTTCAATTGTTGCCGACTTATGTTGTCACTGTGAGTTATGTATGGGATTAAAATCAAGCTTGTAAAATTTAAAAGAGACTTGCTTGGAATTGAGGGTGACTTCAAAGTTTAAACAGTGCTAAGCCTCGTGGAACGCCGTTCTTTTGTTTAAACAGCCTTAATTAAAGGTAATGGACTAGAAAAAAAATATGGTCAGATGTTTTTCTATTCATTATTGTTCTGTTGGGGTTATTTTTTTTCCTCTTTTCAGAATGGATGGCTTGGAATTTCTTTTATGTATGATTATGATTATAAAAGGTGTTTGTGTTTCCTTTTTCAGAATCCTGATTTATTATGATGGTATTGAAATGTGCTTTGAGGGCCCATCAGATGTGACGCCAATGAAAGGAAAAAAGAAAGGACGATGCTACTTGACCACTCATCGGGTAAACTACGGAATGTGCTCGTTTACTGAAATTGCACCTTAATACTTCATTAAATTTTGATATTTGTTTCCGGAAACTCATCGTTGAATAATTTTCTCTCCTACTGTTGAAAAAATTGCTTCTAGATACTGCTGTAACAAAAAGTGAACGTTTTGGATTAGTGTTGAATGTAAAGAAAACAGAATGCATGGTAATATCCAAAAAAAGCAGCAAGTCCTAGTTGTAGTCTCATTAGCAAAGGTGAAAAGTTCAAACAAGTCCAACAGTTTAAATATCTAGGATATATGATAACATCTGATGCCAAATGTTCACCAGAAATAAAACGGAGATTTACAATGGCTAAGGCTAGTTTCAATAAAATGAGCCCAATCCTGAAAAATAGAAACATCTCAATGACTACCAAAATTAAAGTTCTGAAATGCTATGTATGGTCAACCCTTCTATATGGCTGTGAATGCTGGACAATCACTAAAGACAGTGAAAATAAAATAAAAGCAACAAAATGTGGTTTCTTAGGAGACTGCTAAGAGTATCGTGGAAGGGAAAGAAATCAAATGAGGTAGTGCTTGATGAAGTCCATGTGGGACGCTCTTTGTTAAAAACAATCAGTAAACGACAAATGCAGTTTTTGGGACACCTGAATAGACATTAAAGGGTCTTGAACATCTAGCGCTCACTGGCAAAATTGAAGGCAAGCGAGGCAGGGGTAGGCCCAGAGCAACCTACTTGGGGAACCTGAACAAGGTAGGTGACAGGGAAAGATCAGGGAAATGTAGTTTTTTTAAGAGAGAGCATCCGAGCAAAGGAATGAATGGAGAACCATGATCGTCAATGTCTGTCGCAGATCTGGCAATGGATGATGATTATTGAAAAATTTGTATTTTGTTTTGATTTACTTGTAAAGTTGTAGATCTAATTGGATGCTTGTTGGCAAAGAGTTTCTGACATGTTAGGTATGTCTGTTATACTGATTTATGGATATATATAATACTTGAGTGTAACATTAACACTTGATCTAAAGAGGGCTACTCCATGATGACCTATAGGAGGGCTGCTCCATGATGACCTATAGATGAGTCAATGAATTTGAGTTTACAGTAGTTTGCTTTGTAGTGAATGACATAGTTGTCATTCATTGTGTATTATTTCAAGTATTTTTTTTTTTCTTTTGTAGACTGTCACTGCAGGGAGCTCTTGTGGTCGAGAGGTTATGCTGATCGCCTCTTATTCAATAGGTCCCAGATTCGAATTTTAACTGCCTTGGAAAATTTTCTTCTCTACAATCAAATTTTCTCCTTTCACCTCCTTTCTTGCTCTCTAATCACTTTCTGTTGTCTGCTTTCGTCTTCACTGTCTGCCCCCCCCTCCCCCCTTACTCCTTCCTTTGGGCTCCTGACTCCCTCCTCTGGGCTCCTGACTCCCTCCTCTGGGCTCTAGACTTTTTCTATTACCTTTCTACTGCTACTCCTTGGCTCCTTCATACTGCTGTCTTTCAGGCACACCACTGATCTTAGGGTAGGTAAGATCGACCTCCTAGCCTTCTCTGATAAGGGCGAAAAAATATCAGAGGTCCCGTCTGCAAGTTGTGCACGTTAAAGATCCCTTGGTGGTACTAAAATCGATAAGAGTATGCTTCGGCCGCCATCTGGGCAAAATTCAAATTTAATTCCTGCAAATCTGAAAATGCTTAATGCGTCTTGTATGTTTATATGACCTTATGCAGTTGAGAGCACCGTTAAACAGTTACAAAAACAGATCATCACTGGCATAGAGAGATAAACAGTTCTTTCTTTTCACCTCTTTTGCTGTGCTCTTATACATACTTTATTGATTAATTTGTCTTCAGGTAATTTTCAACAGCAAAGATGGCAAAGATAGTCTGCAGTCATTTTCCTTTCCTTTCCTGCTGATGAGAGAGGTAGAGCTGAAACAGCCTGTGTTTGGAGCTAACTACATCAAAGGTCGTATCAAGGCTGAACCACAAGGTAACTCTCTTTTAATGGAACATTTGTTTCATTTTCTTTCTCTGACATGCAGACCAGGTTAAGTACGACAAAAGTCTGGCTGCCTACACAGGCTCTTGTAGTAATACGCAAGTGGACCTCTCCTTTAAAATGTTTTTTGTGTTCATTTTTCACCGGACCATATGTTTTGTCAAAGTGAGCTTACAATTATAACATGAAACCAGCGCCTTAGGTGCTGAGTGTTTGTGTACTTTTTTCCTCTTGCTTTGTTTCCAATTTGAAACATTGAGGAATGGTGCTGGACAGTTAGACTAGTTCCAGCTTATGACATTGGTAAGTGGTATGTTGGTTTCTGGTTTGATGTGACACACATCTCTCTCTCTCTCTCTCTCTCTCTCTCTCTCTCTCTCTCTCTCTCTCTCTCTCTCTCTCTCTCTCTCTCTCCCTCTCCCTCTCCCTCTCCCTCTCCCTCTCCCTCCCCCTCTCTCCCCCTCTCCCTCTCTCTCTCTCTCTCTCCCTCTCTCTCCCCCTCTCTCCCCCTCTCCCCCTCTCTCTCTCTCTCCCTCTCTCTTTGTGTTTATGTTAAGTGTGAGGTGCTCATCGACACTCTGGATTCTCTCCCGTGTGTGTTTCCTTGTTGTCCAACATCAGATTGTGGGTGTTGTTCAATACAGACATGGCTTGAAGACTGGAAAAATTTCATAGGGAATAAATCAGGTGAATAAACAAAATGAGCATTTCCTCCTATTGTTAAAATCTTGCTTCACAATGTCAATTCAATTTATCATTATTATCTAAAGTTCATCACCGTTGCTATATATAGGATTGAGAAAAGGCATAAACTTTTTTCACCCTTTAGAGGGGGCAGGGCATGCAGACTTAAATGCATATCAAAGTACTTATTTGATACCTTGTTTGTACAAACAATGCAGGGACTTCTCTCCTCAAAAATCCTGTTTTGTGTGATAATTTTTCTTCCTTCTTGTACCCCTACTAGAGCTTAGGACGTAAATGACTCTGAGATCTTCTCACAGTACAGTTGATATTTATGCACATGGTTGTTTTATCTGCACACGGCGCACCGGCAGTGGAATTTTAGTTGCCGCGGGGGGGGGGTTCCCCGCCGGGCGCCTTATCACGTCGGGGTCACGGGGGTCGGCTCCCTGTCGCCGCTCTGTCTGGGCCGACTTAATTTTTGGTACTTTTCAATGTACAATTTAAGGTGTATCCTTGTATTTATGGTAATTCTCATTTAGTGCACCCAAAGCACGCATTTCTGCTCTTGAGACTCAAAAAAGAACGGACGTTGTAACTTGTCTGGTTATTTCGTTAGACGCGCTGGAGTCGGCAATGCTAAATTGTACTTTTTTGGGGGGGGGACAAGTGTGAATGAAAAAAATCAATATAAAAAGAGGCCGTGACAAAATCTGTCGAACTTTTGGAACATGAACGACATAGCATTGGTGCAGATACTCAAAAAAGGTGGTATCTGCGCATATAATAGAAAGCTGTCATTTTGCAACTTTATCCATCGGGCACACAATTCGCTATGAAGTAATTCCTCTGAATACAACTTTATGTCTAATATAATCGTGAATATTTGCACATTTTCTCGAAAGTTTATAAAAGTTACCATGAAGTTTCTCTATAAAAAGTACAAATCGATTTTAGTGCTAGAATACATCTTCAATGTAGATCTAATACACGAACAGTATCTGTTACACTCCAGAAATTCCTTACTTTTCTTAAAAGCTAAGTCTAGGTTTTGTAAGTTGACTGAATAATAGGGATGACTTCTCGTAACTGGGTTATAAGAATAATTTCTAGCTTTCCAGGGACACTGAATCAGCACCAGACTTTTCCAGCTTTATTTTTTGTTTCTATGACCATTTGCAATAACTGACAATGTGACTGATTTCTTTACATTCATAATTGTGTCCGCGCATATTTCCGACACAAACACTAAGAATGAATGTGTTAGCTGTCATTATTTTTATTCCATACAAGAAGTTTATCTCTACCCATGTATTTACTCGGTTTTGTGGGTTTTATTAATCGCTTAGATTCTATATTATATCTTTTTAGTTGTATGCAGGCTGCCACAGACACAGCATTATTCATGAACAAACGCAGAGTAACTTTCTCTTGTTTAATAGTAAAATAAGAGCTAACGCTGATCGTCTTTAGTTAAAAAATGCAGATGTGCATCTTTCTTCTCTTATACCTTGACTATTACTACTCGCGCAGATTTAAGATTTCTCATGGTAAAAGACATGATATTCATAGTCAGTTTAACACAGATTTTGGAGAGATCTGTCGTGTGTTTTTAAAATTAATTATCGTTTATTCATAAGTTTGTAACTAAAATAGGACAAATTGGATACTCTACAAACACTTGTCTAGAAGAAAACCTAAGGCACAGAAATTGACCATTCTAACGCAGAATAAATCTCAATACATTGAGCTTTTAGTACATCCGCGTAATGGTTTGCTATGTGGGATGGGGAAGAAGTTATATCGTTTTAAACATAGTCAAAAATGCAAACTTCCTGACCGACACCGGCAAAGTTGCTTCTTGGCTCATTAACCTCGTGACCCCAAGCCGGGAAGCTCCAGCGGGCTGCTGAGTCACGCTAACTAAAAGTTACAGAATCGGGCGAAAAGTGACGCAGTGTGCAAAGAATTCAGAATTGCTCTTGCATGACTTGCAGCCACACACCTTTTTCAAAGGTACTCTTCATATTTATACTGACTAGAATGGCGTCTGTTTTGTGGAAGAATTACTATTTTTAATTTTCCCAGGACGGCAGCACGAAGGGCCGTATTTATTCATCTTTTTCAATTTTAGAGCCGCTGGGAGATCTTTAATGTGCGGAATTTCCACACCACACAGTTCCAAAATGTTTTTGTCCTTATCTGAGAAGACTATATTGTGCTCAATGCTACTTATCCTAAGATCAGGGAGGCGTAAAGACTTGGAAATGAAAAAAAACCCAATGCTGATTGCTTATCAAACTCTAGACCCCCAGGTTGACATGCGAGCATCAAGCTAATAGACCCCTTTGTGATATTGATTCATTTTTATTCTCCACAGCCATGTGGCATGGTGAAGCCAAGTTTGACATGTACTTCACTCATGGGGGCGCCATTGAGTTTGGAAAAGCCATGCTGACTGCAGCATCTTTGGGTATGAATCTTTAGAAATATATGTATCATCGCTGTGAAATCAGACTCTCATCAGAATACATTTTTTTTTTTCTTTTCTTTTTTTGCTCAACACTTTTTATGTCCATTTAAAAACGCATTTCTGAGTAGATTATACTGAAAAACATTGATCAAAGGAACTCAAAAAATGTAAGTTTGCAGTTTCCAAGGACATTCAAGCTTTGAAATTGATCAAACCTTGGTGGCCATTTTCTCACTAGTTTTACATCTGGCACCATATGACCCCGGTCTCCTTCAATGACAACTATCTTGATTTCTACTCAAGATACATGGGTATTTGTTCACCAAAAACAAGACGAGCAAACAGGCTTTAAGATGAAAGCAATAACTCCATATGTCCAAAAATTGACGACATATGTGCAAATAGAACCAGCTTTATTTACATCGTTGCATTAGAATGGAATGTTTTAAGAGTTCTTCTTTCGTGTGTTGCTAGAAGCCGTTCATTTTGTAAGGGCCTTGTTTTGTTTTGAGAAAATTCTGAAACAGGAAACATTGTTGGATTTGGGGGTGGGGGGGGGGGGGGGGCAGATGTTGTCACAGGAGCAGGATTTTAATTTGATTAAAGACATTGCAACAGTCTTTGTCTTTCTGATCATACCTACTGTTATAATCATGTGTTGCTTCTATTGTTCTGATTTGTTTGGGGGTTTTTTGTTTTTGTTGCCAGCATCAAGAAATCGGCCACCCAACCCCCCGCCGTACTATCCTCCTCCCACATCAGGATACTACGCAGCTCCCCCTCCAGCCTACGAGCCGCCAAGGAACTCGCACTACTCGTGGGTCCCTTATGAAACTTTCCCTACTGCACCACCAGGTGAGCTGACTAATGAGTTTTTGTATCTTAACTTCTAACATTGTGAATAAAGTTAAGCTGATTTTGTTGTGACCCACAGTATGCTATAGGACTAAAGCTTGTGTCTCACTGTCCATTGTTGAGGTCTGACTTATCTAGTTAGGAGCTCAGGATGTTAGTGTGGTCAGTGTTTTAAGTTCAGAAAAAAAAGTACATGTAACATAGAAACTGGGAAATACAGTGGGTGTCGCATTCAACGAGGTCGCCGGGATCGGTTTTTTGTCCGCGTTGATCCGACCTCTCGTTGAATGTGACTAAGGCTAAAGATAAGAAAGGAGACAAGTTATTACTTTACAAGGTGTACCAATACCAGTAATTAAAACAGTTGTTCCCCTGATGACGAACATCTCAAACAGCATCAGTGTGCACATGTTTGAGCTGTTGTGTTCTGACCGTCATTTCTTCTTTTTAATTTTTTTTTCGAAGCACTTCTCGTGTGGAAACATACCCTCTCACATCTAGGCTTAAATCTACGTAAAGTAAAGGCTAGAGCTTGGATTTTCTGATCAGGTGAAGGAAAGAAAATTGAAAAAAATGAAGGTCTCGATCCAGACCTACCCATCCAGAGTTCATCGAGTTTCACACAGCGCGCATCGCATTCCCAACCACCCCCTCCCATCCATACCCTAGGCTAACCCTTGTCCATCATCTTGGCTATAGTGCCCATATTACGAGGCACACTAGATCTAGTATCATCTAGCAATAATAATAATAATAATAATAAATAGCATTTATACTGCGCATTTCCATTTCCTAAAAGATGCTCAATGCGCATTACAATGAAAAAGACATCACATCTTAAAAATTAATCGACACAAATGTGTACGTAAAACAAAGTATTATACATATAATATAAATGCATATGTGTAAAATTTTATACCAGAAAAACAGTCTCGCAGTGAGGTTGAAAATGTGTTCACTAAAAATATACAATGCAATATAAATTCACGAACAGTCAAAATACAGTTGAAACGTGAGTAACTAGAAACATTCATTAAAACATTAATTCTATACAGATAGAAAAACATTTCCACTCTATCTCTCTCTCTCTCTCTCTCTCTCTCTCTCTCTCTCTCTCTCTCTCTCTCTGTCTGTCTGTCTCTCTCTCTCTCTCTCCCTCTCCCTCTCCCTCTATCTCTCTCTCTCTTTCTCTCTCTCTCTCTCTTTCTCTCTCTCTCTCTCGCTATCTCTCTCTTTTCTCTCTCTATCCCTCTCTTTTTCTCTCTCTCATTCTCACTCGCTATTTCTTCAGTCTCACAGTCTGGCATACACATGCATATATATCACAGTACATCATTATGACAGGTATGCTTTTGTGAATAAAAAATGCTTCAGCTGATTTTTGAAAATGGAAATTGTTGGGGCAGATCTTATTTTATATGGGATTTCGTTCCATACCTGGGGACCAAAGAACAAAAAGGAACGCTCGCCGTATGTTTTGTAGTTTTGTTTTGGAGTTTTAAGAATTAGATTGTCAGAGGCTGATCTAAGGGCTCTAGGTGGATTATATAATTCCAGGAATGTTTTAAGATAAAAAGGTGCACTATCATTTATACATTTAAAACAGAGAACGGCAGTTTTGTATTTTATCCTTTCTTTTTTTCAATACAATGCGTTAGGAATCGAGGATGGGCCTTGTGCTTCGAGTGAGATGGAGAGAAAGAAAAATCCTTTGCTTTTGGGGCCGTTAGTTGCTTTTATTTGGTTATTGAGACCTCGTTGAAAGCGACTTCGTTCTGTTTGCAATCTCATTGGAGCTGACGTTCATTTACAAAGATATATAGAGGAAAAAAGTCGAGGATTAAGGATCGTCTCGTTGGAGCCAACTTTTCGTTGAATGTGACCTCGTTGAATGCGACGCATTTCCCCTAGAACATTTATTATTTGCCCACAAAATTGCGAGTTATCTTCCCTGTGTTTGGTCCCCCAAGTAAAGTACCCCCCCCCCCCCCCAAATCCCCAAATGATAAAAATGAAAATACAACAGCAAAATCCCAATTAAATATCAGAGAAATTATTTTACGGTTTTATATAATAATTATACACTTCTCTAAGGCTTAAAAACTTAATATTATTTATTATTTTACACCAGTGACATGACATTTTAAGTTTTCAGTTTGATCTAGAATGAAAGTAAGTCAATTTCTACTATAATTTAAGGCAAATTAAGGAAGTATAGAATGACTCCGAGACCAACAAGATCCCAAAAGGTAACAAAAACTCACTTGTGTTATTATTAAGGATACAGAATGCTAATAGTAATAGCCGTATTTATTATTTCTTAATAATCTCAATAATAAAAAACTATTAAAGCTAGAGAAAGAACGAAAAGTCCTCTCATCTCTTCAAATTGGAATGCTTCAGGAAAACATTAACAAGAAGGGATAAAGTGAGAAAAAATAAAAGAGAACAAGTTGGGACAACACCATGTATGAAATACATTGAAAAACAACGCATTAAATGGCCCATGTGGGCCAATAAGCCCCAGCTTATTTGCCCATGTGGGCCAATAAGAGCAGCCATTTTCAATAGCTATTCTACTTGCTTTGACAGGAGAACAGCATCTGCTATCAATGGTTTATTGTAAAAGAGGGCTGAAAAAGGACAAGTTCTATTTATATTCTTTGTTAGTGAAAAAAAGAAACATTCTTCAGAATTGAGCTTGGAAATATGAAATATTTTAATGTTGGAGTTATATTGCTGTTAGTAATACTTCTATGTATGGCAGTTTCCTGTCTGAATAGTTCATCAACGACTGGTCTCACAAATGTTCAGATTATCTGTTGAATTCTGCCCTTGTTCTGGGAAGTCCTCTTTAGCCTTTGTGCCAATAGCATGTACTGATTAATAATTTTTTAATTGTTACGTAATGTATCTAGAGCTCTCATTGTGAACCAAGAGGCAGACCAATGTCTCTGTTGATTGAAGTGTCAGAATATAAATTTGTACTGCTGTTCTTCAATGATCTTATGAGTATAGGAAATAGTAGATAACTATAATTGGGTAGATAGAATTGGTCGCTTTTAAGGACAAGAGGGCTATCCCAGATTTCAGGGGTTTCCAGAAATCTTGGGAGAAATTTGATTTCCTTGGTGTGTATATTTGTCTCCTTGTCTTTTAAAGAAACTTAACAAGGGGCAAAAACTTGAACTTCGATTTTCTCAAAACAGCATTTTTCGGGTAGCCCCTTTGTCCTTAAAAGCGACCAATTTTTGGATGCTTTGTGGAATCCCCTGGGTGAGACATGCTCTAGACCTGCATGTTTGCTGACAATGGTCTGAAATCTGACAATCACGACCCGACCCGCGAGCTGGCCGATGCTATCGCTAAGCCCACCTGTATCAGGCAATGTGCGAAGTGCGAGGCCTGGCCGACTGCCAGCGCCCCCTATTTCTCCTGAGGCTTTGTCAACACTTTCGTTTTCGTGCCGACGTCGGTGTTTCCGCCATAAGTGTCGGAATAGAAATACGAAAACGAAAAAGGACGATGTACTTTTAGTTTCGTGCTCGAGAGGCCATTTTAAATTTCGTCAGTTGACTGATTGTTCTGATGTGGATTCATTCAAGTCCTCACTTGTTCTACTAAATCTAGATCTAGATTTATATAGATCATTATAGACTTCAATGGAGGGTTCATATTCCAATTCTATTGTGTTAGACCCTATTATAGTTTGTGCTGTAATATTAATGGTGGAAAAAGAGCATTTCACCAGGTGTGTGCCGTAAGTTATTATTAAATTATTAACTAGACTCAGCTGAGTCCCTCTGTTCGGAATCCGATGCGGATTTCTCTTTCAAGGCCTATTCACATTCACTTGTTGTACTACCAATGCTCCTAGATCTAGATTAATTAGATTACTATATGGAGGATTCATATTCCATTTCTATTGTGTTATTGTATCAAACCCTATTAATTAGATCTATAGCATTGTAGGCCAGCCTCCTTGTTTGTTTTGGGGTGTGGGTCTTTTTTTTCATTATGGACTTGTGCTGGCTTTTTTACATCATGAGGGCAATTGCAGGTTCTTTTTTAGGGGAGTACGGTTTGGGTTAGGGTTAGGTCTCTTCCTTACTGTGTTTGTTGGGGTGGTGGCTCGTTTCATGGAAATCCTTCCTTTTATGACACCCACAAAAGGAGGGGGGTGGGGTGCGCAAAATTTTCAGACAAATCTGGTTGAGGCTCACATGCAGGTCTAATGGTCACAAAGGGGTATATATAATCTTAAGTTTGTTGCCTGGTGTGAGCAAGGCTGTAAACTTTTTGCATGGTTACCTCCCTTAGATCATTTTCTCTTCCCCCCCCCCCCCCCCCCGAAATAGATCTGAGTTTGGGGTTCCTTGACTTAACTACTATTATGGAAATGATCCCTATGTTATGGTTTTGTTACAGATAATTTTTTAAACCATATATTTACATTCTTATGTATTCATTCAATGTCTTATGGCATTTGTGTGTTTTGTACCCACTAGGAAAAAAATGTTATTTGCCCATAATATGTGTAGATCTAGTACTCATTTGGACATTTTCAAATTGAAAATTGCAAGGACATTTTTCTTTGAGATTAACATTTTTTTTCTTCTTTTACTTCTGTGAACAGCTCAGAGTGTGTACATGAGTGAGGCTCCTCCTCCTTACCCTGGTGTGGATCCTTCCATGGCCTACCCGCCTCCATCGGCTCCAATGAATAGCCATGGTATGCATCAGGCTATGGGTGTTTATCGTGGACTGTGATTTGTCTTTCATAATACCTGAAGTATCATTGGACGAAAATACAGTCAAAATTGTCCATGATGGCTAATCATTGTCAGGGAGAAAACTGCTTGTCTTAGACAGATGGGCATCTTGGGCAGTGTCATCATAATAGAAAAAAAGGCAAGGGGGGGGGGGGGGAATTGGGAAGTAGTCATTTCATTTGTTCTGGTGATTGTCTTGGACAGGTATGAGATAGAGCAGGTTCGACTGTTTCATATGATAACGTCTGTTGAGATATTTGTAGAAATTTCTCTTGAAATTTTAAAAGTTTTATCACTTCTGATTAAAAAGAACCACATTAAAAAAAGAAATGTTCATGTGTTTGGCCATGTGTGGTGCTAGCAGAGCTCTTGTGGAAAATTGAAAGGTTTCAGATTTTAAATTTCATTCAGTTGCTTCTGTACTTCTGTTTTGAAGAAGTACCCTGAGCATTTATGTGCATTGTGCTTGTGACTATCTTGTCTCATTGTACATAAGACTTTGTGGTTCTTGTTACAAATACTACTGATTCACTACTAGGAATATTCTGTAATCTATGTTAATGCACAGGCTCTTGTAAAAGACTGACTTGACAGTGTGCCCACAAATTGTCATAGGCTCAGAAAATACCTAATATCCAATACAAGATGGCTTTTTTTAAAAACATTATTAAAGCTCCCAATTTCTTTTGTATTACAGATGCCAAAGCACAGGAGGCAGCTGCCAGTGCGTACTATGACCCCTCTAACGCTCACAATTTCTACGCTCCAGCTGCCCAGGCGATGGCCCCACCAGCATATGGCTTCAACACTGGACCACCCCCGTCCTACAATGAGGCAGAGAAAAAACAAAACTAAAATGTGGACAGCAGATGTTGCCAAAGATTGCAATAATGAAGTTCGCACCTTCAAACCTTATGGTACAGCTTACAGCTGTATTTAGGTCGTTCTTTAGTTGAACAGAGCATTGCAAATTTTCTTTATGCTCTGCCTCAGATTGAAATATTTAAAAATGACACATTGACCATCATTATTTTTTTTGTAATGAGGTTGAAATAATGTTTACATAGTTTTGAAAATTTGCTAGATTTAAATTGATTAAATCAATATGTTGAGAAGTGAATGGAGACACCGTTTTCTGGAGAATATATTATTCATGTGCTGTGTTTTGTATTAAAGTTTATTAAAGTGGTATACAGTTTGGTCTTTCCATAATTAAGTAATCTTCTGCTTGCGAAATTGATAGTGAGCTAAAGCAAGAGCTTATTATTTGGTAATAAGTGTTGTGTTTTTAAGTCTTGAAAAAAAGTGTTTTTTTTATTTTCATATATTTAACAGCTATCTTTAAGAGTGCAGTTTCATTTATAAAAAGTAACTGCTGTATGACATTTTTTTTGTATGATCTATGAGTAAGTTGGACAATACATAAAATTTCTTTACCCTGAAAGTTCAGAGATAAATTTCTCAGTTGAGCAGGTCTCGTTACAGTTCAGAAATAATAATGTTCTGTACGTCACTGCGCACCGGCAGTGAAATTTTAGTTTCAGGGGAGGGGGTTCCCCGCCGAGCGCCTTATCATGTCGGGATCATGGGGTCAGCTCCCCGTCGCCGCTCTGTCTGGGCTGATGTAATTTTTGGTACTTTTCAACGTACAGTTTTAGGTGTATCCTTGTATTTATGGTAATTATCATTTAATGCACCCAAAACATGCATTTCTGCTCTTGAGACTCAAAAAAGAATGGACGTTGTAACTTGTCTGGTTATTTCGTTAAACGCGCTGAAGTCGGCAATGCTAAATTGTAAAATTATTTGGACAAGTGCAAATGAAAAAAAATCAATTAAAAAAACCCCGGCGCAACAAAAGCTGTCGAACTTTTGGAACATCAACGACATAACATTGGTGCAGATACTCAGAAAAGATGGTATCTCAGGGTGTCCAGCAAAGTCGTAAAGTCGTAAAAAAGTCGTAAATTCGGCGCCCTGGTCGTAAAGGTCGTAAATGGTAGTAAATTTACCTTGAAGGTAGTAAAAATTTGGTAAACGGTCGTAAATTAGCCTGCATACTGAGTGATGAAGCCAGCAAAACTTTTCAGTGAGCCCTAGCCGCGGTACATGACACCGTTGTTGCCGGTCGCGATTGTGATATAATAGTCGTTCACCTTTTCCCCGTCCGAGAGTACGTTTCACGCGAAAAGCCGCTATGGCGGCAGGTTGAAGTGTATGTGACACCGAGGCTCGATCGGGAAAATCAAGATCTACTTTCGCTTTCGTTACCACCCTGAAATTTGGCGAAGATAAACTGATAACGCAACATTTGTAATATGCAGGTTGAACAGTATAAATGCTGTGTCGCCATGCAAATAGAATTTAATAATTAGGCTACTCAGACTCTTCACCGTGCTGTCACTTGTGTGTGTGGGGGGGGGGGGGGGGGGGGAGAGAAAATAAAGCTTCGTCCGAATTTCAGATTGTCGGGTTCGCCAACGTGACAGGTCAGTGAACCTTCGCACGAGGCACTATAAGGTACGGTATCGGTGAGCACCGGCGTTTGTTGGGGTCACCAAAGTTCATTAAAAAGTCTGAACGTTGTAAAGTATAGGACTACGGAGTAGGGCAGGGATTATTGATTTTTTTTTTAGAGATACACTCGGGGGCGGCTGAAGGCAACACCAGAGGACAAAAACTGTAAGCAAATGTCAGAATTTTGATTAGATTTAGAGCCCTCTGCCAAGCGCACGTTGGTGCATGCCTTGTATGGAATCGGGATCCTTCATACCTTGTAAGCCGTGTTATTGAAATTAAGTGTTCGCGTTTCATTTGTTGGGTGATAGTAAATTGGAACAATATTTTAGCTTTCTGTTCAAAACTAGCAGGTTTTCAGTGTCACTGCCTCTTGCCCTCTCACAGTTCTTACACCTCTCACACTGAATAGGTTTACTCGAGTCATTTTACGTGTGTGTGTGTGTGTGCGCGCATTGTTGTTGTGTAACATGGCCTAGGAAAATGGAGAAACCGGTTTGGCTGTCACCTTGTGTGTACACATTAGGTATAAATCTACCCCCCCTCCCCCTCCCACCACCCCCAGTGCAGTGCTACTGACTGAAACGTCTTTAGGCCATTCCCAAAGGGAGGATATTAACATGTTCTCATGCACAGTAGAATTGTAAATATGGGCTGATTTATCAATGTCATGCTTATACTGTGCTGGACCAGCAGAGGGGGAACTGCTGCCTTTTCTGTCCTCTTCTTTACTATCGTCATTTTCCTCTGCTTCTTTTGTTTGTTTGTCACGCTTGTGAACTACTGTTTCTGGGGTGCCTTGATAGTCGAAGCTTGATTCTCCATTTGGACTTCTCTGTTGACATCCACCCCTTGTCGCTCATATCACCTATGCAGTTGTGAGCGCCGTAAAAACCTTACTAAAACTAAATCTAGCTGCGAGCAAGCTTGTGATCGTCTGTCAATCCTTTATTTTGTCGACTGGACTTTGTTGTGTGTTCTTTTCGTTCCATATGTTATGTAATAATAATATATATGTTATTGAATGTGCTAATTAACTCCCTTTTTCGAGCTGGTGTGGGGCTTGATTTGCTGGGTAGTAAATTTTTTTCCAGGTAGTAAATTTTTTCAGGAAATATTGCTGGACACCCTGTATCTGCGCATGTAATAGAAAGCTGTAATTTTGCAACTTTATCCACCTGGCACACAATTCTCTGTGAAGTAATTCCTCCAAATTTAACTTTATGTGTCTAATATAATCGTGAATATTCACATATTTTCTCGAAACTTTATAAACATTACCCTGAAATCTCTATGAAAAAGTACAAAAAGTACAAATCTATTTTAGTGCCAGAATACATCTACAATGTAATACATGAACAGTGTCTGTTACACTCAAGAAATTCCGTACTTAAAAAAAAAAATATCAAGTCTAGGTTTTGATGTACTTCTCAAAGACATATTCACATCAAACATATAATATGTTATTATGCCTACCATAAGTGTTTCTTCAATTTTTCTTAGGCTTATGCTTATTCTGTTACAATCTTCAATAGGAAGTACATCTGGCATTGTATTTAATGTCTTAGTCCACAGTTTGAACATTTTCATGGACACAAAAGAAGTGAGTGCTGACCATAATTTATGAACCAATATGTAGTGTTTTGAGAAACTAAATTTCAGTAGAAATTGGCTGTCTTTAAAAAAATAATTTTTATTAGTGTTTCTATGGTTTCTACCTGAACACATGTCTCACGAAAAGGCTAGTTTGTGGTCAACTCAAGATACTGTTGCACACATATTTAATAACATTGTCCTCTCTCCAGTTTTGAACTTTTTCTTAAGGGGAGGGAGTGTTGTTTGCATCTTTTTTTGGGTCTGTGTTATTCCTTCTTGACTTATTCCTGTATTCATGCTATCCCATACCTGTTTTCTGCTTATCAGTGTCTGCTTTTGAAAATTTTGATGATAATAGTAAAAATCATCTCTTTTCTGTGGAAAGAAATATGTGAGGCATCGTGGGAAAATCAGGCGCTCATCAAAATAACGAAATCAGAGAAACGCATTCTTCCGCCAGTTAAGCAATTTTTTATCAAAAAATGTTTTTTGGCTCAAGGCTCAAACCCTTTTATGTTCTTACAAAAAAATATTTTCATGTGAATTTTACTGGAAAACGATTAAAGGCACAAAATATGTCATTTTTCAGTTTTCAAAGACTCTTTAGCTATTGAAATTGCCAAACTTTGGTGGCCATTTTCTAGCTAATTTCACCACTTAAACTAGGCGACCTCACCTCCTTCAATAGCAAATATCATTAATTCTATTTAAGATAAATGCATATTTTTTAAATTGAAAGCAAAACAAATGAATAAGCTTTCAGCAGATGATACCAATAACTCCACATGCCCAAAAAATGGTGAGAGCCTGATTCCACAGCGCCGTGACACATATATGCTAAACGATCATTGAGATATAAAGAGAGCTTAATACTTCTTTGGAGCTCTTGTTTGATTTTCTGAGTGACATTCTGCAGGAGGGAATAAATTAGTTGTTGATGCATTTTGTTCATACGAATGGTATCCTGGTAATTCCCAAAGATGTCCATGTAGGGTTTTCTTCTTCAAGTTCTAGTTTCTGTCCTTACCAAAGCATTTTTTTTGTCTGTTTGCCTTGTTTATTCCAACTTTTGGCTCAGAATTCAGTGAATGTCCAGAATTTGCTGGTGGGTAATTAGTAGGTGGTGCTATAGTGTGATTTGCTGATTGTGCTTTAAAAAAAACCCTTCTTGAATCTGTTTGCTGGCCTTCTGCTTTGTTTATGGTAACTTAAGGACTGTTTCTTCTTTTTGTATGCTGTAAATATTTTTATTCACGAAGTGCTGACATTGTTGTAGACCTGTGTGTCAGTAGCATTGTAAACTTCACAGATTCAGAATGACCTGGGTCTATAATTGTGACCCATTTTGAAACAGAATTATTGAGCTTATTTACTCCAGCACACTCTCACTCTCAGTGGAACTCACCAGGTGTTTGTTGTTTTTTGTTGACCAAAACTTTGCATTTGTTTTAGAATACAGGTAGTCCATGGATTACAGATAAGTCCAGATTTTAAAAAAAATTTCAGATTGCTTTCGTTTCGATGTGCTCCACAAAGTAGATTTCTGTTTCGTTATTTTGAACCGTTGTACATGCATGTACTATGTGATTTTTATATGTACTGGAGAGCTTTTGGCTCATAATATTCAGGTATTTTCAGGTTGTTTGTAATGCATAGAGTGCCTGTACGTATTCATGTAATGTAATCATGATCCCTCACAGTTACTTGTATATATAAACATTGATACTTTTTCTGTGATACATGTCTGGAAATGAATAAATGTTTCAGTAATCCTCATGTTGATGAGAAATTTAATATTTTTTGTTGGCTTACCAGTGGGGGCAATGCCACTAGTAAATCTTACTTCTTTACTCTCCTTTTTTTTCTGTGGCCAAGTTTTGCATTTTCCTGGCATTTATTGACTTGTATTGTGTTGATGTGTCTTTGTTTACTACAAGAGTGGGCCAGTGTAGTGCAGGGGGTTACTAATTTGGTGTGCCTCATGCTAATTCAAATAGCATTTTAACAGGTTCAGAATTCTCGTGGGAGAGGGTCGTCAACTTTCTTGGAATGATTCCTTTCTCTTTCTTTGCTCAGTGTCCTGACAGGGGACCGAATGTTCTGCTTTTGAAATTACTTACTTCAAGAACAATGACATAATATAAGTAGAGGAATGTTTTATTAGCTTGCATCTTTGCCCCTCTGATTGTAGGCTCATAAGTCGACACTGTGGGCCGTTCGCTCAGCAGCTGGTGCCACATTCAGCTATGGACTGTGGTGCTAATGACTAATTTAAATCTCATTGCGTCCTTCTTTAACTTCGTTTGTGTGGAGAGTTTTCGATACTCTACACCTGCGTGTGCATGGTACTTTTTTATGTTCTTTGAACTTTGAAGGTCCTCCAGATCTCCATAAAATTTTTGCGCAAGCTGCTTTTCTTCAGACTACATGAAGATACTGCTATGTATGTTGATGCTCAGAATTCATGACGTCTTGGTTGCGCTGGTACACTGCACACTCGTCTTCTTAAGTTTTTCGTGTACTCCTGGAGGCGTTGAGTCAGTGTGTTGCGGCTAGCGTCTGTGACGTAATGGTTAGGCTTTTTGCTTGTGCTTGCAGAATTCGCGAGTCCTCCTTGTTGAGGAGTTATTTGACTGAGTATCACTTAGTGTCAGCGTATGACTGCTGGAATGCCGTATCCCATTTGCCCTAATTGATCTAAATTTGTGTTGATAGGGGCGTGAAATATGTACAACCAATCAGTCTGTTGGTTGCGTTCTTAGTCTGATCTGAATGAACTGGTCCGATCTGCTAAATTTGTTCCAGTGTCTGTGGTTAGGCACTTTCGTTGTCACATGCAGGAGACCCTAGTTCGATTTCCGAGTGATGAGAATTTTTAGGGAGTATCTCTGTGTTCCTGCCTGGATGTTGTATTATCCCTCTCAGCCTGGGTTGGCCATGACAAGCAGGGTTGAAATCCACCTCCTAAATAATGTAAATTGTGTTACTGGGGGCGTATAGTATAAACATTTACATTAAAAAAAATACAAAGCTTGTGGCACTTGTTGTGATAATATTTTTCTTCTTTTTACCGTTCCTCTTTTGTTTCTGTCTGCATGTCTTGCTTTCCAGCATTATATGAGCGTTACATTTAGTGTATCGATGTGCTTCTCTTTGTTGCAACATGCAGAAAACTGGGTCCTGCTGCAGAGGCGGGTGGTTGGAGGGCACTACTGATAGGTCGTACTTTTTTATTTCCCTCTGTTTGTGTCTCTTTCTCTGCACTGAATTACCGTTTTCGTTTCCCTGTCTTGGATTTGTGAAAACTTTTGGTTAAAAAAAAGCGTAGGTTCATATCACCACTTAGACTCCGAGTGGTCAGGTTGTTCTCAACTTCTACTGTTTTTAATTAAACCACTGCATGGAAAGAACATATGATTATGATGCTGTTGTATGACACATTTTCCTGCAAAAGTTCATCTCTCCAAAACGTATATTCGACATATTAATTTGTACTTGGAAATAAGTATTTTATTGGTGACTACTGTAAAAGCATTCCATATATTCAAAAGATCGAGATGTAATCTCTCATGCTAGCAAAAGATGACAAGGGGACCATCTTTATGAGCACATTATTAGACGTGTTGCTCACCTCAAACGTGGTACATGTACTAGCAGAGTAAATAATGGAAAGTGTTTTGTTAGGAGGTTAGCTGAGGGAATCCTCTGTAGATATCTCAAACGGGTGGTTGGAGGACGCCCCTGGTAGTGGTAGGACTTATTTCTGTACTTGCCTTCTGTTGTTGACTGTCTGTCTCTCTCTCTGTCTGTCTGTCTTACTTTTCCCAGCACTATGATAACGTTATTGTGTCGATGTGCTTTTCTTTATTCTCCCAAACAAAACCGAACAAGATTTCTCAGGAATTGTTGGGAGAATTGCTATTATCTAGAACTCTGTACCATGCCTCTTTAGTTTTTTTGGTTTTTTTTTAAAGCTTAAGTAACAGAATAAGAGAGAAACAGAGAAACAAGAGAGAGAAACAGAGAAACAAGAGAGAGAAACAGAGAAACAAGAGCGAGAGAGAGAGAGATTACACACGCACGCTCTCACTCTCATACACTCACACACAAAGCGCGCGCGCGTGTGTGTATGGCGAAATCAATCTGTCAATTTTCAAAGCACAAGCCGACGCAAACAAAGTGAACTTCACAGAGAATAGATAATCAAGGCATCTCTTCACTTCATAAATAACAATTAAATAATCTGCCGTGACAGTAATCCAAAGTGTAACGTTCAGCAAGCCCACCTCACCATGCTTTTAAAGCTATTTTGATCCTTGACAAAATAATTTTATCTCCTAGTAACTGGACTTCTTATGTATTATAATGCTTAATGTGGTTTTAAAAGGCGTGCAAAGGTAAAAAAAAAAAAAGTACATGTCAAGATGAATTATTACTTCATGTGAAATACTGAAACTGCCAGTGACAAGAATTACATACAGTATTATTTTTGCCCTTTCGATACATGCACGACAATGCATTTTTAAAGGGAGTGGCGTATCATATGCACAAAGATACAGATAGTTGGAACAAAGAATATTCCTCCCTAACTAACAAATAAATGAACAAACAAACATAAACAACCCCCCCCCAACAAAAAGCAACATCTAGATCTAAGTAACAAACTAAAACTAAAACAACAACAACTCTTCCCCCCCCCCCCCCTAGAAAAAAAACACCTCAACAGAAACAGCACTATTTGAGAAACGAATCTAACCGTTCTCAACAGCGCCTTCAGCGGTTCTATAGTATTGTGCTCGATTTAATGAGGATGCCTTTTTAGAGTGATGTACATCTTGAAGTGTAGCCTGCTATCTTTATCAAGGTTTCCAGCAGCACCCTGCAAGCTCCATCTCTGGTTTCCCCTGCCTATTCTACTGTGTTTCTGTTCTCAAGTTGTGTACTATCTCTCTCATCCTACACAGACATCAAGTTTGGACGATATAATATGTGATCAATATTGAGGTAAAGAAAAACATTGCTATTGAACACAGCCTACAGGGAGGGATTTGGTGTGCCAAGCCCAGCCAAGATTTCGTCAATACGTACACATCTGTTGCACTGGGAGGTTCCCTTAACTCTTTATATTGCTTTCTGCAGTCATTGCTTGCGATTTTAAGATGTGTTTTATACGCGCTTTCTACTCGTTCTGGAAAGTCATTTGAGAATGGTAAACAATTTGTGTTTTAGTCCCTTGATTTTATTCAAGAGTTTTTAGGTTTCTACCCCCCACCCCCCTGAACCAATAAATGCAGATGGACGTTCATTTCGAGAGTCCATCTTTAAGCCATCGTACATTGTCTTGAGAGGGTCTAAGGTTAAGACTCCACAAATAAAAATTGAAAGAATACAAGACGTAAGCACTAGATCTACAGATGTCTTCGAAACATACTAATTTGAGTTTCACTGTCAAACATGGCAAGCTGGACCTGGCGTCTGTGGTGCGCTTCGCTGTCGTACGCAGGATACCTGAGTTCGATTCCTGAGTGGAGATACGTTTTATTGCGTATCTCGGTCTTTCTGGTGGGTTGTATTCCTTTCAACCAATGTAGGCCCTGCAAGGCAGGGTTGGAAACCCGCCTCCTAAATCATCTAGATTGTATCGATAGGGGCGTACAAAGCTCCCTAGACTGAAAAAAAACCCCTCGGCAAAGTGACCGGTCTCAATAAACATAACCATGATGAGTCTTTGAGCTGAACACATACTGTACTGTGCACACAAAGTTCACAAAGTGAAACCTAGATTGTCTCCAATTATAGTCAATTCCTTTTTTTTTTTCCTTTGTCGGATAGGCATGTATTATTTCAGTCTCAATGAGCAAGCGCACATCTGCCACCATATCGTGATTATAGTGTGTCCAGCTTGAGGCTACTATTCATCTGAAAAGGGAAGATCGGGTCTGCTTCTTTAGAAAAAAAAAGTCGTTCATTTACTAATACATTTATTTAATTTATTAATTCTTTAATTCATTGGTCAGTCAGTCAGTCAGTCAGTCAAGTTATTTAATTATTTGTCAGTTAATACAATGTATTTCTTTTCCATTTTTTTTCTGTTTTCCTTTTTTCTTGGGGGTGGGGGTGTTTACATTTATATTAAGCTGATGAACAGTGCACAATAAACGATATACAGACAGACAGAAATATTTAGCTGTCATACTCCAACCTCATACTTGTCTTACTTCTCCACTGTGTTGGGGTCACTGCAGTCGAAACATGTCTATCTCTGCCCTCCCCCCCCCCCCCCTCTTCTGGATCCATCCCAAAGTCTGTCTGCTTATAGTCTCTATCATTATCTGGTTGGAGATCCGTCGGACTCGTCCGCACAGGTGGCTATGTTTCCCTTCTCCTCTTTGGATCCCCTTCTCCTTCAGTCTCCCTAGAGTATGGGAACCGCTATCCGCCCTATTCTTCCTCAAATTTTCACTTACAACGGGTTAGGACGGTTGGTAGGTTCAGTGTCAAATTCCCTCCCAGTTTTGCTTCTCCAGCCAGTTTGCTCTCTCGTTGCCGGTTACCCTCGTGTGGCCCGGGCAAAAGATCCAGGCCACTCTGTCCGGGCTGCTCTCCCTGATCGTAGCCTTCCAGTCCGCATACCTCCCTTTCTGTACCTTCTGTAGTGTGCTCATCATAGAGTCAGTAATGATTACTGCTCGCTGATGGCTTGTGTTCTTGATCCAGTGTAGAGCCTAATTTGTGGCTTTATCTCCGTACACATACTTGATGTTGTCAGTGCAGTTGCTTCACTTTGCTCTTTCACTACTATCCCATTAACTCTGACACTGAAGGCCCAGCCCGATTTGACTCCTCTGTTGACTGAACCCTCCGTGAAGATCACAGCATCTCCATGTTCGCTATTCTCTTCTGTCAGGTTTCAATTTCAGCGTTTGTAGCTCCAAGTGGCCAGTTGCGACCTTCTCTACCCTATGTTGCCTTCACTGTTGTGTACTATCCGAGCGCATCTTTGACCCCCACCCAATCCCTGCCTCTCCTGATGTCTTGCATCTGACAGCACTCGTTGATGGTGTTCGTGGCTTGAGTCATCCATTCTGTGCCCCTCTTTAGCCTTGACGTCATTTGCCGTCCCACTTTCTTATGTAGAGGGTTCGTCTCGTCTGCGCTGACTCGTAGAAAGGCTTGGGCTTGTGCCAGTTTGTGCCTCTCGTCTGCACTCCAACCTCATGTAAAAGTAAACTTAACCTCCCTCCATTTGGGAACTTCTTTGACCTAGAATGCCCTTCAGGGGTCACCGCTTATAGTGGGACCAGATCTGCTCACAACGATGTCATACGCAAAATATGGTTTTAACTTGTTTTAAGAAAAGGGGATCGAAAACTATATACTTTTACCAATCTTATGCAGTCTTCAGGGTGAGATGTCCACTCAGCAATGCCCTCTTGAGAGACATGATACAAGACCACAAGCTATCTTACATGTTTGTATACAGTCGACATTGTTTAAGACGGCCACCCATTATCGGGGAGAGAAAGCGGTTATCTTAGAGAGGTGAACACAGTGTCATTATAATGTTAAAAATGCGCAAGTTGGGAACGGGGATGTAGCCGTTTTTACAGGAGGTTCGACTGTACTCTATGATTTCCATACATCAATGTGGCGCAGGTGGTTCTAAATTTGGCTTGTGGCTCGCACTTGGAATGCAGAGTCCAAATTGTCCAGTCTTTAGTCGATTTTAGCGTTTGTTATAAAATCACACTGAAGTACATGTGCAACAACGATAGTTTGGCACCGGTAAAGAAGACAGACAGGAAAAAGAAATGTAGAAAAGCAATCTTTTACACCCATGGCAACTTCCATCCATTCACATCATGTCCTTACAGATCAGCGTCTTGGGTGTAATGGTCCGGCTTTTCGGCATTACTGGCATGAGGCGTATGCTTTAAGTTCGGGGGGACAGTTTAAAAAAAAAAAGTCAGTATCTCGTCTGTCTGCTGAGATGATGTGTCAAATTCAGCCCTCGTTAGCCTGAAAAGGCAGGGTCGAAGCAGGTTGGCTCACATTTCTGATCTAAAATTGCATCAATTGGGACGTACTGGGTAATACTATCTTACAATTTAAAAAAAACGAACAAACGTATTTATAGGACCATACTATTATACATCGGAGCCTTTTGTCGGATGGGGGTGGGGGGCTAGGCCTTCCACTTTTGAAACGACTAGTTATGTATCTACTACTACCACCACCACCACTACTACTACTGCTGCTGCTGCTGCTGCTTCTGCTGCTGCTGCTGCTGCTGTTACCACTACCACTATACTACCGCAAATCCCTGCTCAACAGCAAACTCTATAGGCGCCTTACAATCTATATTGTTACTCCAGCAGCCGTAAAAGCATTCTGAAACAATCTTAATTTCCTTGGAAGCATACAGTGCAAGCTGTCATTTTATAGGCACTAAACCACCAACATACTGTAAAGCGTTATTCTTTAGAAAAAAAAAACAACTTCAACCCTTATGAAGGCAAAGGGTTAAAAACATTCACAGAATTCGGCGCGAAAGAAATTCAGGTACTTCTTAATGTAGTTTTGCGGGTTAGGTTGATGCTGAAAAGTATTCGTTACCGATCGTTTTGCAACGCAGTAATGCTATTCTTCAAATCCTGATAAATAAGTGGCTTTTACAAGGAACTTAGCCGTGTTCTTACATTTTTTTTTCTTCCCCGGAACTGGTGAGTAGATCGATTTTTGTTGAATGTTGATGTGAAATATAAGTAAGTTTGCAGGTAAATCTAACTGTGATCCTTATCTTGGTACCTCCTTGTAAATGATTGACCAACATAACTGCCATTTTCACACTTGTCCACTTACATGCACACATACACACACACACACACACACACACACACACACACACACACACACACAC